CAATAGACGTGTTTCATGGATCACTTCTTTCATCCAACACGTCTATTGTTAGTCAAATAGCTCTGGTCTCCATCGCGTCTATCATGTTTCTATACCTTGGCTCGTGGCTCTATTTGTTTTGATTAGGCTCACTAAATACGTCTCCTCTTTGCTTTCCATTGTTCCTTTCTCGTCCCCGTGCGATCTCTTTTCCTAAAATTAAGGATATTACCTTTTTCCAGTCGTCTTCTTTTTGCTGATCTTACTGTTACCTGGGCTTCGCCGAGTTTGTTTAAGCAATGTGCAAATTTTTGCTCATACAGCCTTCTTCATTGGATTTCACTCGATCACTAAATCGATGGCCTCTCGGATCTTGCGTTTTCTCGTATTTTCACCATGGGTAGCCAGCTATTCGGTTGATTTCCAGTCGATTTCGTGTCGCGTTCGTGCAATGTATTCCACTATTTCGGATCTTTTCGTATCCATGTTCCTACAAACTATTTGATGTTTCTCGATTCGTAGACCGATCTTTCTTCCTGGTTCACCGATATACTTCTCCTTACAGTTGCCGCATTTGATGCGATAAATTCCCGAGCAATGAAGCCTGTCCGTCTTCTTCTGTTGAGTCGGCAGACTGGCGAAAAGTGTTTTCTTCTCCTTTGTTACCACCTTGATATTATATTTTAATTAGTAACAGTCGCAAATGATAGCTCAGTTCTGATGAGGGTAGGCAATTTCACTTTTGGTCGCCCTTCTGATTCCTGATCTGATTTTCATAAAATCCAAATTGAAATCGGCCCTTTGTAACCTCTATATTTTTAAAAATAAATTCTGTGGGGTATTCGTTACTAAGGCTGATCCGTGTCAGCTTGTCCAACTCCTCGTCCCAGAACTCAGTGTCCATTAGTCGGAAGCTTCTGATGATCAAACTCCTCACTATTCCGATTTTCAGTTTGTAGTTATGGTGAGACTAAAAATTAAGGATTATCCCCGCATATGAATTTTTTCTGTATAGTCTTCGCATGACTTCAATATCCAGAAAAGTTAGTCGTTTATCCTCCTTCATCTCCATTGTAAATTCAATTCTTTCAGCAAGTTGGTTAATGAAATTGAGGAATTTATTTAGATTATCCTTAGCATGTGACCAAAGTGCAAATTAGTCATCCAATTTTCTCATAAACACTCTTGGTTGCAGTGGTGACCTCTCGAATTCCATTTCTAACCTGTCCATGTACACATTCGGCAAAAGAGGTGAGAGTGGAGATCCCATCGGTAGTCCAAACATTTGCTCGTAGATACTGCCGTTGAATGTAAAATATGTGGTCCTTACTGTTAGGTTAATCAGTCGTGTTGACAATTCTTTCCGTATCCGTTCTGCCTCCAGGATGTCCTCTTCTCGCTCCAAAATCTCCAGCAAGGCGCTTATTGCCTTTTCGCCTGAGATGTTTGTTTACATGGATTGTACATCAAAACTCACCAACAATTCCGACCCCACCAACCCAATATTCTGGATCCTTTGAGAAAATTCATATGAATTCTTGACGGTATTCGAGAGTCCGTAATTTAGTTTCTTGAGTTTCAAGCAAATGAATTTCAATAGTTTATGCATTGCTCCATGCTTGTTGTTGACTATTAGTCTTAGAGGATTTTCTTCCTTGTGTATCTTCGGTAGTCCGTAGGCTGCAGTGGTCTTGCATCATTTTTTATTGAAGATTTCATCATCCATCTATCAAGTCGACTTGACAAAGTTAGTTGATGATCAGACGATAAAAAGCGGAGACTTGCTGTTATGTTGCGATGTAGTGTCTATGTACACTAACATTTCGATAAACGAGGTAATAAAGGCATTGGAAGTTATACTAGATCAATTTCCTGAGATTGTAACAGATAAAAAATTAGGCAACGATTCAATCATTAGATTAGTCAATTTGACAATGGTAAATAGTATGAGCGAAGACTGGTTCAATGTTGAACCACACCGTTTTGTGGTTGGCACACAAGAGATTAGAGCATAGGAAGTCATAGACGTTGTATCAGGGATAGAAAGTGGATAGACGCGGTGGATACTGGATCTAATGGACTGACAGTAAGTTTGTTTTTACCATAGACGTAGTCCATGTAGCAAAGGCTTGAAGATGAGACTTACTCAGAGGCTTGAGATTCGAATTAGTCACCCAGGCGCAGGAGAGGGCGAATAACGCCTCGAGTACCACAGATGGGGTGACAGGGGTAGAGTGAAATACTTGAATATGGGAGATAGCAGACGGATTATACGGGGCAAGAGGGAGACTCTGATAGGACCTAGGGAAGAAGGACTGCGTATCAATATGGCAGACTCTGGTCAACATTCCCAGCAGAAGGGTGAAGGGGGGTGAGAACGCTAGTGTGAAGTATGGAGGGTTCTCATGGGTACCGCTCAAAAGGGCACATTATACTACATTTAAATAAACAATTAAAAATTTTGTTAGTTATATACTTGCGAAAGTTGTCAACATAATGGATAAATATCCAGAAGATACAAGGCGGGAGATGGAAATGGAAATGATCCCAAG